TCCTTTTCTTCTATTTGTGTTACTATCCTGCCCCCATCAAAATAGCTCCAACATGAGATGAGATCTACTGAGGGATAGGGAAGACTGAGTTAAAACTCAATCAAAAATATATGCTGATATGCAGTAGGAAGCATCCTGACAATTTCTTCAGGTACAGCATTTTCTCCAGCAGTTTGAGGATGACGGTGTCAACATTTTCCACAACAGTGTTCAGGAAAAAAACCTCCATTGTCTCCAGTCTACTGAAAGACTCTCCATAACAGCTTCAATTATTTGCATCTCAGCCATTTCCCTCTGGGTTGAATCAAGGCAATATACTAATCACAAAGTCTTCAGAAAATTACTGGCAGTATATGAACAGTTTCAAGGCATTTTCTCATCAACACAAGATTATACTAACATTCTTTACTGTTCTGTATGGGCTATAAATCAAAATTTAAAGTGTCAGCCCTGTCTCCACAATGCTAATTGAGGTGGAGTCCATATAATCAGAAGACTGCTTGAAATTGCAGAATGAAGGCAGTGGTAGAGAAGCTTCTCTGCCCCAGTCTGGTTTTTATTGCACTGTGCACACAGGGGAGCTTGCTAGGAGGTGGTGCTGAGATAAAAGTCAAACAAACTTCTATAAGAACCAAGAACAGTCCTGAACCATTACTCAGGGTGATGAGCTTTTTATTTCTGCTGCTACCCATACGTCTTCAAAATTCTCCTAATAGACATGAACATTAAAAAAAAAAATGCTACCAAAATTGAAACTGCACATTCTCTTCCCTTGTGATGGGGAAAAGAGTGAATCAAGAATAGTTGTCCCATTACTTAATATATTTCTGAAAAGTCATCTGACATTACAGGAAGGGTAGAAAACTCCTTCASTTTTCTAATATTACATCTCAGTCTCTCTTACATTTCTATTTCCCTCTTCTCACCTGCTTTCCAGCTCTGCTCTTCCCACATTTCTGATTTTCCTTTGCCTTTTTTTTTTTTATTCTTCCTTCTCCTACTTTTCTATAAAATACCAGATCAAACAACCCACTTCCTTGTCTCTGAAAAGCAAAACAGAACATTCATAATTGGCTGGAGACCTTTTATTCTTTTCACTTCCAACACAACTGTTCTATACAGAAGCCATTATAAATCTGCTTGTTCATTCTCTTTGGCCTCTTCTTTTTTGACTTGACTCGGATGTGATGACTATTTTTGACTTTTTCTGCATTTCTTCCCTTGTTCAGTCATCCACTCTTGTTTTACTTCATTTACTCTCTCTACTCTTTCTCCTTACCAGTTTGTGACTCCAGTCTTCATTGTCTTATTACCTACTTCCTTTACCAGATACGCTGGAGTTTTATAATCAGTTATGAGCAAATATTGATTCCTTTTGAGCTCAATACCTGTTTATTAACACAAGAGCAGTTTTCCACTTTGAGGAAAAAAAAAAAAGATCTTTGTGTTCACCCAATAATAAATTCAAATATTATATACATTTCATTAGAATTATTTAAAGAACTCATGATTTTGGTAATTGATGTTATAAAGTTAAATTACAAAGCAATAGTAATGAAATAATTAAAATCCAAAGAGGATGTGAGTTAACAGTAAAAAAAAGAAACCTATAGAGCATCTATATAAAAAATTATTATAAACCCTATATATAAAAAAACCCTGTTATAACATCTAACAYTTCAAGGCTATACCCGTAGAAAGTTCTCTTTCCTGCAAGGAGTACTTTAGAGTGCCCAATTTTTCCTCAATAGGACAAAACATACAGTTATAAGCTTAACAGCAAAGTCATTTTTGCCCTCTGATCATAATTTCCACACAAGACATGGTTCTGAAGTAGAAGAACTTGATGCATATGATCACAGAAAGCAGTAACAACTTGACTAATCAGCTGATTTCCCTTTCCTTTTCCCATGCCAAAAAGAAATTAAAATGTTTCTTTACATATTCTCTTAAAAAGTAAGTACTCCCCCTCCTCCCAACTTTTTAAAGAGAAGACATCTTCAAATCTTGAACACAATGGAGCAGCTGTTACTGAGTTTCCTTGATGGGTATATTCTGTCATGAGGGAAATCAGAGGCCTTGCTAAATACCTTTTTTGTTTGGTTGTTTGTCAGCTCAAATACTGATTAGGTTCTCTGACAACCACATTGTTTGTTTGCAAAAATGCAGAGAGAAAAACCTTCAGTTGCAACTGGAGCCCTGTAGAAACTGCAGACACACTCAGAGGTACTTTGTTAAGCACCTTTTCAGTAGGTGAGTTTGCTGTGATTTAAAACAGTAAAGTACGAAGTAAAATATAAAACCTACTTTAGATGATTCTTTGGGTATGCAAAAAAAGAAAACAAATATATTTCAAATAATAAATCTGAAGTAAACAGTAAGTTTGCAATCCTTACTCAGAAGACAGTAACTTGGACATTAATGTAAATTTTAAATGAAATGGTAGCAAGCTCTGAAACTAAGCACAGTACTGAGAAAGATGAGGTATTTAACAAAAGAAACTTCAACAACAAGTAGTTAGTGACAGAAGGGTAAGGACCCTTTTTTATCTTGCCATARGCTTGGATATAAATCAGAGCTGCTCAGAACAATAGTATTTACAGGGCAAGCTGTGAAAGCCTAAAGAGAGATTTCTCTACCTTCATCTGGAAAAACCCGCATCCAAACACACCATCTGCCATGGCCTGCCCAGAGCCAGTATATTGTCGAGTACTGTGGAAATCCTCAGGCACAACCTGTGTGCAATCACCTTGCACCTTGCTATTCCGATATTCCTGGTCGAGCAGGATGTGTCTGCAGACACATTTGCCTGCTTGTACACAACTACATCCTAAGYTATCACTTTAAACTGTCATCCCAGTAGTAAGCTGGCTTCTGATTATGAAATATATCAATTTTACTGAAAAAAATTGCTACAGTTAAATGTTACGTTAGGAAGTAGCTTAAATTATCTGGACAAAATCTGTTTACTTAAAAAGAGACCTACATAACATTAAAATACTAAACAGGCTTTGAATTAATTTTCAAAATTTCTAATGACAGAATTTCTACAGTGCCTGGAACTTGATAAAACTTTACAGTACTTTAAAAATTGCTCTCTGGAAAGAACAGAAGGAGGGAATATATATGTAGCGCYGCAAAAGCTCTTATTTACTCGAGTTACTTATTCTGTGTCAGTCAGTGACTATAACTACATGACAGAGGAGAGAGGTGGTGAATAACAGCACATTGTTCAAACTTCATGAGGGAGAAATATAAATTTCACTAAAAAAAAGTGTTTGAGCGTGTTTTAGAAGGTGGAACAGAAGGTTGGCAGGATAGTGGCTGAAAGCTGTATAGACCACAGCTCTGCAATCATGGGGAGCTGTATTGGCTGCTCTTCGTACAGCAGAGAAAATGGAGATGAGGGAACAGAAAAGAAAAATAGAAGAGCTGTAAGAAGATGCCATTGTTTTAGGACCTTGAAAGAAAAGACTTACAGAAGTAGAAGAGGTTAAGGTTAAATTGATAGGGAAAAGAAATGGACAGAAACATCCTTTGGTATAAAGTAAAATACCACTTAAAATATAAGGAACTTCTGTAACTTACTCAAACCAACCCTATCATTTAAAAATAAATATAGTAACAGTTGCCAAAACATTTCCTTCTGATTTTATTGATCTGAGTCCCATTACAGGCATTTTCCAAGTCAAATCCACCCATCACATCAACTTCCCATCCTCCTCAGAGGACAACAGCCAAACTTCTACCTTCATTTCATGCAAAACAGATGCAACATGCATCCAGGTTTGGGGGACAAATACCAAAGGCGTAGCCATTTTTACCACCAGATTTCTCCTTCAAAAGTTACATTTAAGATCTTACTTTTTCACGATTTTTTTCCAGTGTTTGCAAGGTCTTCCAGAAAAACATAGAAAACAGCATCTTCTATCTACCCACAGACATAAAACCAAGGTGGCATCAGTTCCAGTATTTACACACTTTCTTTTCAAAGGCCTCAGTCTTGACCTAAGAGTAGGATATTCTCCATGTCAGGTCAATATTTGACCTGTTTGTTAATCTCAGCAGGAATCCACAGCAGTGGCCATTGTGTGGGTCATTTCAGATGCAAACATCTGTCTGATTTGCACTAAAAATAGCACCAGGAGCATAGATTCATTTCACAGTGACTAAATACTTATTTTTGGGTGGTCAAAACAATAAAGTACAAAGCAAAAAGCAAAATTTAAGGCATTTTGCTTTTCTGATTTCATTCAGCAAACAATATACATGGTGTTGTGTGGACAGTTTGAAGATATACAAAATAAATATTTTTTTCTAAACACCTTTACTTCTCTTTGTAGATTTGTGCATTTAGGAGAAGCGTTGAAAAGCAACTAAAGCATCTATGGGCTGACCAGATCCCAGCTCCGATAACTCCATTTCAAGCAATATAAATTCATCCACATTATCACCTAAGTGAGCCGTACGGCTGTTAGCAAACCCTACACAAATATTCAGATTTTTGTTTTTCCTGTCATGGTGAAGGTTATCTCCCCAGTTGCTCTGAAAAATCAGGTGACAACCATTTCCCGTGATGCTTTAAGGGCTGTCAAGCTGTCCATCAAGCTGTCACCTGACCAATCGTTCCCATGGTTCTTTTAGACTTCCAGTATGATAAATTGAAAGGCACTATTATCTGCCTGTTGTGAAGAGGAACTGCTTAGGCTTTGATAAGATATCACTAGTCCCAGGTGAGAGAAAGCTGACAGCACATCAAGACAAGAAAACGCATGGAAACAGTGAACATAGGAGCAAAAGGTTTACAAACATCTGTTGTCATTATTTATTACCCCTTTCCTTGGTTGTTTAGCTCTATACTTGCTCTACATCAGTTTAAAAAGAGACTTTCTTTTCTTCCCAGCCAATCTCAACTGCTGCTATTTTTACACCAGTTAGTTATAGAACATGAAATATTTTAAATATGAAAGATAACTTTAATAAAAGGTTGTGTTACCTACCTTTTTTGATACGTGTTGCTCTCACCATCATTGTATCTGAAGTGTTCTATGACTCTCATGGTGCAATTATGCCAAAAGAAAATGAGAAGCCCTGAAAGATATGAAGACATTTTAAGCTTTGCAGTTATTTTTCATTGATACCTGTGAATATTGGGAGGACATTTCACATCTGTCTTTATATGAATACCCAAAGTTAGCATAAGAAATCTCACAGAGAAAAAAATATGTTATTTACATGGGTTGTTAATAAAAAGCTAGTTGCTAACATCACCACCTTGTGTACAAATATTTTTTTGCATGCAGTTTTAATGGTTTTAGGCAGTACTATAATTTAATTGGACAACAATATAGAAACTCATTTGCACACAGGAACATCTAAATAGTTTTATCATGAAAAATCTTTTTTAATTCCAGCCCTTTGAGTTCCACTATATTCTAACASCCTTCTGCATTGAGAATGAAAGCAAACTTCCACACACAGCAAACAACTCCTATTCATTGGAATAAACAGTGAAAAAAATCAACAGAACAGGTGTTCAGAGTGGTAAAATACTTCCATAAAGGTAAGATTCATACTTAAAGTGTATTCAGCCAACTTCCTAAGCCTCTCTTCCACCTAATGAGAGTGCTTTTTACTTTATCTTTTCAGATAAGCTTGTTATGTGTAAAGGCACTTCCTTTCTTCTGTCAAATATCCCAACTTACTTATATTTTAAACAGACATCTCATTTTAAAAATACAAACTCATCTCATCCATGGCTACTAAGACTAACAAAGGTCTTCCACTCCATAGCTACCCATTCTCATTAGATTTAATAGACTCCTCACTATACTATTTAGGTACTACACAATGAAGCCGTTAGCAATGATCCTGCAGCAACAGATGTCTCGAAAAGAAGAAAGTCCATCTTTAAAGAAGTCATTGAAAATTACTTAGGGCGATATTTAACACAGCCTTAAATAATGAGATTGTAAAATATCAAGGCCAGTACAACTCTCTATTTTCCAAGCTCATTTAGAGCTTGAAGATAGAAAACAAACATGACAAGTTCCACCATCCTTTTCAATAACAATGCAATTATGTTACAGTGGAGAGTTAATTCAAAGAAATAATGCATCCTTTTTTAATACTTTTGTCATTTTTCCTCATTTTCTCACACGGATTTTGTGTGTCCAGCCTGTTAATGAAGAGCAGGGACATGGAAAAGTATTTGATCCTGACCAGGTTTCTTCCGACCTGCCTCAGCTGGTTGCAAGAGTCACGGTGTTCCATGAAGCTCTTTGAAATAGCCAACACATGGTTAACAGAACATGACAAAAACATCTAATCTTATCTTCTAATCTCTGGTCTGTATTTTCTTTCTCCTTTATAAGGACTGTCAAATACAGCAAAAGTAACACCAAAAAAAAAAAAAAAAAAAAAAAAAAAAAAAAAAAAAAAAAAAAAAAAAAAGAAAGAAAAAAGGCAATAAATGCATTTGTTGATACAGAGCAAGTTACCACCTAAAGCCAGAAATGTGAAAGAGGAAAATTTAAATAGGAAATAAGCACAGAGAGGAAGAAGGGCAATGAATGAAATCAAGGACTGAAACAGTTCTGAAAGGGCTAGCTCTTCTCAGCCTGAGACAGAAAATGGTATAGAAAAGGCACTAACTTTTTAGTGCCACGATGCCAAACCTGGCTCACCCCTAAAGCTGGGATCCTGTTTTGGTTTTGGCAGTGTTAGGTAGCACTTTGGAAGAAGCAGCCCTACAGCTTCCCAAGACCTTAGGTATTTCAATATAAACCCACCACGCTGGAATTCAGCCACAAGCTTAATAGGAACAAGCCACTCTATAAGAAAACTATTCCACAAYGATGCAAGGTTGCCTGTAAGACAACTATAATCAGTTAAGATGTATTTGAAACAACAGTGCTGCTATCTCAAAAAAAGGGATAGGCAAGCAGAGGAGAAGAAAGGCAGTTGAGATTGGCAGGTGAACTGGAAAATAAAAGTGTATAGCATATGTGGTTTTATTGATTATCTGTAAAAAGATTTTTAAACTGTTTTGGTAAAGAAAAAAAGAAAAAGTGAACTAAGACATTTGGATTGGCAGTAGTGTATTTTGGGGGCAGCTTTGATGCAAGAAGCAATTCAGGAAGATGAAATATAAAAAAACAAGCAAACGCACAAACAAAAAAATCCCACACAAGGCAGCAGTTGTAACTGGAGGTACAGACACAAGTGCATGATACCCTTAGGTAACCTGGGTTGCAAACTTAGAGGATATGAGATGTTGTTCAGTCATTGCTTGGACTTCTGCTTTCATTGCAAAAGGAAGGTAGATGACTCATCTCTCACTGGGCCGTGGGCTTCTTTGAGAGACTTCGTATTTACTGTGGACAGTTACAGCATGTAACATGGTCAGACGTGTCAGAGAAGTCAGYGCACCCTAACTTGTTACTTCGCAGTAATTTGCTCAATACTGTGTCACACAAGCAGATTTTTGCTTGGATAGATCCTTCTGCATTTACAAAACTTGCCAGAAGGCCATATGTATTAATAGCAAGTGCTAACATAATATAGCACGAAGCCAGACAAGTCATGGAGGGAAGCCAAAAACTTACAAGAGAAGCTGGAACACCCCTGAAAATACACGAGAACAACAACTGCCATCCAAAGTAACCTAAAAACCTTAATGTTACTACTTTTAAAAGAGTTTCTGCTTTTGGACCTTGGCCCTGACTTGTGTATGAATAACTGAATGAAGGTAAATGCAATAGGTCTACTCATGCATAAAGCCAGGCACATGCATTAACGTTGGCAGGAACAAGGACTTTCTTTTCATACTTACACTAGAGGATGGTAAAAGAAATGCTGCTCAAAGAAATCCATCAACTAATTCAAACTCTGAGCTAGCTACTTCAGAGCCTCGTACAATGGCCACACTCAATGAGACCATTGAAGAAATGGAAACGAAGTAAAAACAGGTTTCTCTTTGAAGAACATTATGAGATCAATACAGTGCTGTGGATATTAGGAAAAGTCACTTTAATAAAAAGGAAATTGCACATAATATAACAAAACAATTGCTATTTGGAAGGCCCCGAAAAAAAATTTAACAACGTAACACGATCTTTCTTAACTTCATTTCCCATCCATACTAGAAATCATAACAATAAAGTTTTCTACACAAGCAACTTTATGAGCTGAAAGAAGAGAATGTGTAATTCTTTTCCATGGTCTAAGCCAAAAGAAATGAAGGAAAAAATTGATTCTTCTCTGTTAGCCTCCTGTGTAAAAATTTTCTCCTTATCATCTCATCTAGTCATATCTTTCTGCAGTTTGAATTACCCTCTTTTCCTCAATCTGGTAAGGCAGTGAAAGGATGTTTGTTCTGCTAATTAACTTTATTACCCTGATAACTCCCTGCAGCCTTTGACGAAAACAATTACCGTTCCTCCTTTTTTTTTCCCCACTGGCAAAAAAAAAAAAAAAAAGAAAAAAGAAAAAAAAAAGATGACTATTAATTAGAAACGAGGCCCCGGTCCCTGCCATGTTAGCCTGCCACGTTCTCAGACCCTCGAGCGGGATAGCATTACATTGTCAGTAGTAATTTAGCTCTCATCTGTCTCTGCTAATTATTGTCACATTCATCAAATTCATCAACAAAAGTGCTCTCAGAAGGATTGCATATTTGCAGTTAATACAGCATAAACTGGTATTACCCATCACCACATTTGTGATGATGAGAGGGACACAACTTATTCATCCCTAATTAGAGCAAGCTGGGTAATTAATTATACATTCCGCCTTATTACTTCTGAGTTCCCAGATATTGTTTGTCTAAAAAGGGGGAGAGAGAGGAAGAGAGAGAAGCCTGAAAATGCAGGAAAAAAAAAAAAAAAAAAAAAAGAGAGAGAGGAGAGAGAGAGAGAGAGAGAGAGAAATGTGTGATGTGTTTTGTCACATGTGCTATGCCATAATTCCCACCTGACAAACTAGCTGAATCAGTAGAAAATTGCAAGTTGTCAGCAGCAGAATAAACTGCTGTAATAGCTGATTAATGATCAACACCTGTGACAGGTGCTATACGGGACTGTAAACTTGGTGTGATTAACAGTCACCGGACGAATAAATATTAGTGACAGTCAGTGGAGAGCGAGTTTGCGTGTTTTAACAAATCTTGCACATTACAGTTATTGATATTTCCAGTTCAGGCACTTTCTTTTTGGTAATTATCTGACAACACTGGGAGAGCATTTTAATCCAGTATGTTTGTTTCTCTTCTCTTCTTTCAGAGTGAAAGATCGTGTTTTGACAAGGTGACCTAGCAGAGTTCAAATCTACACATTTGGAGGATTTAAAACTACTTTATCCTAAGGCCAGCTCATAGTGACACTCCCAAAAATCCTTTCAATGGACTTATATATGCACACACATCCATAAACATACATATCTAACATATAGATTTATATAAAGCTGTATTATGTTTTTTTTTTTTAAAGGCCTATAATTCTAAGATTCCACTCAGTTTTTCTTCATACATTGACAGGCTATACCTGACTGCTATGGGAAATCAATATTTCTTTGTTTCTATCACCAAAGATGCACAAGGTTCTTTTGAAACAATTTAGATGTCTTTAAGTTAGACTTCGAAAATTTCTGTAATATRAAATAATGGAGCATTAAAATTACAATTTTTGGAATTGCTCTGTGCTCAGCACAGTAGGATCTAACCAAGTCCCTCATACACTACGGCTCTTGCAGGATCCCCGCTAGGTGACTTAAAATACATTTTTCATCCTTATGCATGGCTACAAATATGTTAATTAAAGAAAATATATATTGCTATGCAATAAAAAAAAAAAAAGCCTACACAATCCAATGAAAACACATGAAGACAAAATCACTACATATTACTAAGTAAAATGTGCCTGATATTCTCAAATCTGAAAAGTGAAGTATTGTCACTGAAAAAAAATCTAACGCTTTATTTTATGCCAAATAAGGAGACAAATCTAACATCACGACTGGCTGAAAGTATCATGTGGTCAGATGTGTGTAATACATTATTCTGTCCATATGAGCTTTTCCTGTCCTG